CCTTCGCCGATGGGATAGATCGACTGAAGTGGTACGTCTGCGAGAAAAGATCGGACATTTTTGACGAAGAGAAGATGGAAAAGGAAAGATGAAATTTTAGACGTATGCGTACCGGACGACAGGAACTTTCGCAAACTCAGACCATATGGATCGTATAGGGAAATTGTAAAACGTCTTTTCCCCTTCCAAACCCTTCCACTGTGCCAACTTCATGCGTCACAAATGGATATTACGAAAGGGACTAGTGCGTTTGCTGCTAAGGCGGACTCTTACGTTTGTACGAAGGGAAAGAAAGAGAAAGGGATAGAGAAAGAGAAAAAGAGAGATGGAAACACGTGTGTCCATGTCGGAAACAGAGAGAACTCTATAGCAAGAGGAGGGGATAGGGAAAAAAGCGTGCAAGCACAGACCGAGCCGAGGTTAATGGAGTAGAAAGAAATTTAAAAACCGCTCTTCCAGTTCCGACCGGGTAGAAAGAGTAAAACGTATCCACATATACAAGACTATAGAGATACAGATAGAGAGAGAGAGAGAGAGAGAGAGAGAGAGAGAGAGAGAAAGAGAGAGAGAGAGAGAGAGAAACATGCATACATGTATATACACGATCGCTTATGTACTCTACTGAAACGTCAAGATGCACGGCTACCAAGTGTACTTATCTATGTATGTATATATATATTAACGGTTGGAGTGTATATTATAAAAATAAATAAACTACACCATACGCTACGCACCAATGTACACGAGTTCTATTTCCTTTATTTAATGAAAGATTTTGATTAAATTCTTGACATAATTCTTACTCTCTGAATTTCTTTTAAACGCGTTTAAAAGATATAAATCGTTAAAAAAAAAAAATACACTTTATTATAATAAATACAAGATATTTCGAAGTTTACATATTATAATATTTTAGTAGAGATATCGGGCTAGATAAAAGAGATCATTTTGAATTGATATTGGATAAGTCTACGAGGTCATACACGTATAAAGAGATTTTAAACATACATGAATCTATTATCTTTTTCTCACTTTTAAGATATTTATTCGACTTATTGGAAACATTATGTAAATAATCTATATGTCGTCTCGTCTTTTTTTCTCGTAGAAAAAAGAATTGACTACCAATGATATCGTCGTAGTCGTTCGTACGATGGAAAGAAAACATATGCTATCGAGGAAACTGTTTTTGTTATAGAACGAACAATGACGTTTACGTATCGAATCGTAAATGGATAGAGAAAAAAAACAAAGTGAGTCGTATGATCTCGACGAGTGTGTCCTTTGGAAAGAAAAACAACCAATCTATGTTCGTAAGGAACGGAATCGGAGAAGAGATGATCTTCGCGAAATATAATGGAAGACGAAAATGTTAAGAAATGAGAAAAATGTTACGTGGTAAACAGCTACGAAAACGATAGTGAAAAGATGTCGTTCAAGGACGGTTGTTTTCGCGAAACTTATTTTCCAGACGAACTATATACGAAATATATACGCTTCGCGTATATTTTAAAAATCGACTTATATTCTTTCTTCTTTCAATGTAGCAAAGTACGAACGAAACGGACTCTCATTATTTTCTTTCGGGTCCGATATTTTCCGCAAAAATAATTCATCATGTATTATATACATTATAAATAACTTGTCTATTATATGCTTCATTATTATTCTTGATGATTTACAAGGCGTCATAAGCGAGTCTCAATATCACTAACAATTAAAAACAAAGGCGAGATCGGCTAGAGAATAATTGCAAAAATGCCGATAATTTTGAGAACGGATGTTTCGCAATGGAGATTCAGCAGATATACGTTTAATTTTTCGTTTAATGTATGTATTGTTGCACATTCACGAAATAGACGTTAACAGATTTTTTTTTTTTTTAACAATTAACAACTATATACGATTTGGCTTTTAAGTAATCTCTTCAGTCAGAAACGTTTCCTAAAAGCGACACATCTTTCTCTATCGAGCTTCAAGTAAATACAACCCCTTGTCGTGATTTATAAACAAATCCTAGGCGTCTGGAAACAGCCTACTTCCTCTGAGCAACCTCAGAACATTCCTAGGTTCGCTTGCAACAGTATGTATATTATATATACGTATGTACGTAAGAACAACGTGCCCACGCACGACGATATATTTTTGTAGCGGTCTTCGCGAATATTCGGCATTAGTCATCACCGTCCATCTTCTTTCTCAAATCGTTTTAACAACGACGAAGAAGAAAAAGGTTAAAAGACTAATGGTAATATTTTTGCATTGCTTTTTTCTTTTTTATTGTCAATGATATTTCTCGAACGACTTGACAATGCGATATTTCTTCGTTCGATTAAAAAGTTCATCTTGTTAGGCGAGTCTAAGTTCAACGCTCTTTAATATCGAAGTAGAAACGAAGTTTCGAATCCGTACTGCTTGTCACACCTGTGCTTCTCCCGTGGGACTACGAGAGTCTGATATCGAGAGAATCGATACCGATCTATTTATCTCTCGTTCTTTCTGTCGACCAAACGAGGAATACTTCCTTCTTTCTTTACCTTTCTTTAACTCTCTCTCTCTCTCTCTCCCTCTCTCTCTCTCCCTCTCTCTCTACTTCCTTCTATCTCGAAAGATACATTTAACATACGTTTGAATCAGCGATAGGTACCAGTCATCTATACACTTGGCTCCGAAACTATTACATTGCTGTTCACGACGTGCAGCGATAATTTACAAGTCCATTATATTCGACTTTTTCTCAAAAGGCTGCTTTACGTATGTGCAGTTTTTACGAGCTGTTAAATTCCGTTTTTGACGCTGACTCGACGAAGACAGAATCCTCGATAAAATTCGACGTTGCGAGATAAAAAAAAAAAAAGAGAGAGAGAGAAAGGAAGAAAAACTAAAACAGTTTGGGACTCGGTAATCGGAGACTCTTTGGGTCAACGCGTTGAATCCTCCTAGAGACGCGTGCTCGTGGATAAATATTTAACAAAAGTATACGCGCCCACATAGTTCGATCGAGTTTATCCGCCCACATTGGCTTTCCAAGCGCTTAAAAATGTACCATGTAGCTTCAAATTGAAGAAAACGAAATATTTAATGTGAATACAAGGAAATTGTTAGAATGCGTACATATATACATATGTACAACGAACAAAATTTCAGAATGCTACCGACAGTCATGCGTGCCGGTTTCTCTCTTCCTCTCTTTTCCTCTCGCAACTTGCGTAACGCGCACGCACGCGACGCCGGCTGACCCACATGCATGATCTTTATTTAAACTGGTTTCCACTTCGTCGTCGTTTACTACTCATGACCGCTCTTCCATCGCTGAGTCATTATTCTCCGAAGGAAATTCGTCGAAATGGATAGAAAATGTGCAAGGTGCTTCGTTTACTTGCAAAAAGTAACGTACCTATTTATTTTTTATCTATGCCGACGTACTATCGGAATAAAGTCGATCGATCGACAAGATATACCATGAAATATAACAACTTTCATACGTATATATGTATTTATGTACTCTTTTTTTTTTTCTCTTACTTTTATTCTTACTCTATCTTTCACTATATCCTTCTCTCGTTAGTGTAAGTTTACATATTAAGAAATAACAGCACTCTGTCAGATTGTGACGTTTTTAGAAAGAAAAAATATCGAACTTTCTTGTTTCTCTCTTTCAAGAATGTCAAAGAAAAATACATAGAAAATTCTAGTAATTTCTTTGCGAGCAATCCGAGCATGAAGGGGTGGCATCGTTTTCTTGCGTGTATTCGAAAGTCGTTGACAAAATGAAAAAGAGGAACAAGTGCAATGGTGAAGACGAAAGAAAAAGTAGTGGAAAATGTATATATGTATTTGCGAAGTAGAGAGAGAGAAAGAGAAAGAGAGAAAAGCCTCCCTTACATACCGCGTCTCAACGGATACGAATGCCTGAATCATCCCGCGGGAAAAGTCGCAATTTGAAGGCGCGAAAACCATGAATTTGCAGTGTCGCTTCTATGTTCTACTCCCACGAGAAGGCGTTTCTCGACAGTGTCGACTCGACGACGACTTCCTATCTTCCCTTACAACCTTTAACCCTTCGCTCTTCCCTATCTCGAGAGAATTTTACAAGTTCGAACAAAAACCTATTCAAGCTCGTCGTGCAAGATATCTCACCGAACTATCGTTCCTATCGTGGATCGGAACGATATCCTATCCTATAATCGATCGACGGAAAAAAATCTGCCTTATTATTAATTTAATTTATTATTAAATTTGATCGCATTAAATTTATGTAAGAGTTAATACTTTTATTACAAACCTTTCATATAGGTTAATGTATATCTTAGACTGGTAAAAAAAAAAAAAATTAGAAGGAAATTGTTTAAATTAGAACAGTTTTGATCTATACATGATATATTTATAAAGTTTTTTTAAGTATAACTCATACTTATTATTTTGTCGATATCAAATTGATACGGTCGATGACGAAAGGCATTTGTCAAATTCTGAACAAAAAAAAAAAGAAAAAAAAAATAAAGCAAAGTGCCAAGTAATAGGCAATAACTTTTATATCTTTTTTGAAAGAACTAATTCTTTATCGTATTGATCCTATTAATTGTTCGTACATTTGTAAGATTACGTCAAGCAATAGTTGTCTTTTTCGCTGTAAAGTACATACACACGTAATTGGTATTATGATATTAACAAACGCAAAGCTCGTGCTCTCGTAAGCACCCTTTACGACGAGCGATTACCTACATATTTGATGACCTCAAGCTTCAGAGAGGAGCAAAAGCATTATCGTCACCTTTTTACCGACCTTCCTTTCACGCAACGAAATAATTTCCTACGTATATTTTTTAATAATATCTATTTCTCAGAGTACATATATAGATGTAATCTCGTTACAACACGAACGGAACGAACTTTGTTAAATCATTATGAAGGAAACGAGCACATGAAGAGGAAAGAAGAGAGAAAATATGGACGAGTTATGTTGATGTCTATCGATAAACGTCATTGACCGCACTTACCGAGTTAATGGCCGTCATGTTGCTAACTCGAGTTGGATCTGTATCCACTAGCACGCTGTCACTCTGCAACAAAAACGATTATATGTCAAGCCAATGGTACGAGGATCGAATCTCTTATTACGATGCTACAATGATACAATACGCTACGATGCGATTACAATGCAACCACACTTGTACATACAAAACAATGTCGTGTATTCCTAAGCAGGAAGATATTTGTCAAATGTAGTACATTGTTTATGTAGGCGTTGCGTGACGAAATCTCTGCATTAATTTCAGAGACTAACATGCGAGATTTTTATCTTTTCCCTTGTCTTGTTCTAAATCGAAGGAAATAAAAATTTATGACTATTAATTGAATGAAAAAAAAAAAAGAAGAAATAAAAGAAGGAGAGAAGTGACGAAGAAAACATATCTTTCGAATATAAATTACGAATGTATTAAAAATATCAATACGTTACATCGACGAAGAATCAATAACGATTGAGTTAGTAAACCGAGTTCAAGAATGGAAAATCAAAAGTAAGTTATTAATAATTCGTTCGATATTTGACAATTTTTACTCTTCGGCTGTCACGAAAATATTATTTTGACATTCACGATCGGTCATCTTGGGGCAACGAAAATGTCGAATGGTATTCGAGAGTCGGTCAGAAATTATCGAGATGGAAATTTTCAGTTCGCCGCCCGTGCGTCGTCGGAAACGACGATCGTAGCAGGTTCTAAGAATCATCCAAGCGTGTTTTGGGACGCTGAGACGGGAGAAAGAGAGAGAGAGAAAGAGCAAGAGAGAGTGAGAGAGAGATTGAGTGAAGAAATAGTACGTAGGTGGTGTCGGTGGCGGTGGCGGTGGCGGTGGCGGTGACGGTGGCGATGATGATGATGATGGTGGTGGTGGTGGTAGTGGTGGCAACCATGGAATCAAGGCGAAAGAGCCAACCTGCAAATGTCGTTCCGAACTTTGATCGTAAAACAGCAACGGACTTCTCGGGTAGGTGGAGCGTCAGTCTTGAATGTCTGCCAAATCGGTTATTCACGAATAAATTTTCGTGTCAAACTTTGAGCGAACGGTACGTTTCAGGAGGCGAACAAGGTTAACGGGGATCATGAAAATGGATCGAAATCTTTAATTTCATGCAGAGTAATGGAAACAAAAGAGACAGTGAGAAAAAGGGAAAGTAGAAAAAATCGATTTCCTACGTCTATGAAACATGCGAACGAGTGAAGAAGCAACGGAAGTTGTTCGTCTGTATCTTTGTATTTCCATTTCCATGTGTAGCCTAACGTTATTCATTTATAATGAGCACAAACACACACACACACACACACACACACATATATATATATATATATATGTTTAAAAATAAAACGAAGTTATTCTTGTACAGCAGTATAATATATGTCATAGTATTTCCTTAACCCAACCGAATGACTTAAGATCGTTCAAGCGCAAGAAATGGATTCCTCTGAATAGAAATATCTCGCGTTCATAGAAACTTGCAACTCGTTATCCGAAGTAGATAGCGTTGATTGATACACGACAGTTCTAATGACATTTCCGAGATACAAAGTCATTCGTAAACCAGTAAGACGGACACGGCCAAAAGCTAAAACGAGAAGGACACTTTACTGTGAATTACGAGTTTCATTTAATATACGAGGATACGATGTCGCTCGCGAAATCGCGTCGCTAGACACTTGTCGTCGACGAATTCGCGAGCGTGAGCAACTTGTTTCACAGCTTTAAACTCTTAGCCCTACGATTTACGAGAACGACTAATCATTTCGTACTTCTATTTATTCGTCAAATTATTCTATTTCGGATTCCTTCGTCGCCGTTTACAGAGATAATATCGAAACACACTTAACATTGCACTCTAATAAGACATAATAAAATCTAAAGTTAGTTTGTTACTTTAACATAGAGTACGCGCTAGTATGTACTTAAGTTCAACAATAAAAAATTTCTGTAAAATCGAAACAACAGAGATAATGACAAAATTGATTTCTTTGCTTGTAATGCTAAATTTTACAATACCAATTATTCATCATTCGAACGTATAAAGTAACAACGAATAAAATGATCTCGATGTTTTGTCAGCAATAATTTTCTCATTGCTCGTTTGCACATTGAATATAGATGAATTTATTGTAAGAGAAAAATCTATGAAACAAGAAATAAAAGAATAGAGTTCATCGTGAGGAAAAAAATTCAGAATTAACAACGTCTCGATATAACGGAGACTAGAAGAATTATTTAAATAAGAAAAAACTGTAGAATTTCAAGTCAATCTAAAAAGTTCCTCGATTTATGAAAAAATATTGAGCTTGGCTTAGAATTCCTTTACATCGGTTACTCGTCCTTTAACCAGATCTTCTTTCTTATGCCACTTGAAATGTTCCACACCGTCCTTCGACCCTTTTTATTGTCACTCTCGGCTTTCCAGTCATCCCCCGCGGAAGCAATAAAGACCGAAATTCATGCGAAACTGCTACAACTCCTTTCGTCGCTATGGAATATACGATATTGTATAACCGCGTCTTTCTCGCTTCGATTTACAAAATTTCGTGAACGAAACGAGTCCCGTCATATTGTAGATTATGGGAGCGAAAAAGAAAGCAGAAAAAGAAAAAAGAGGAAGAGGAAGAGAGAAAAAGAAAAAGAGAGAGAGAGAGAGAGAGAGAGAAAGAGAGACATAGAAGGCGACGTATCCTACAAACGGAAGTACGTCGGGTGATTGATGGGTAACCGATTGTCGGCAAAGCCGAGTAAATGCAGCCCTGGCGATAATTCACCGTTGGACTCTTGACACGAACCAGGGTCGTTAAAAATAAGAAACGAGATTAGATGGTTCTAAAGTTGTCGGACATCGACACGTCTAAGTCAGCTACCACCTAAGAAAACGAAGAAAGATGAAAAGTATTTCTTTTGGACTTGCCCATCTCTTGTTCTTTTTTATTCGTCTCTTCCTCCTTCTTTTTTTCTTTCTTCATCGTTTTTCTTCCTTCCTCGCTTTCACAAGAATTCCATCAAACGAATCTCTCAGACCTTAAGACGTCAGATATGTTCCTTGACGCATAATTAAGCAGTCCAATCTTACGTCAATCGTCGCTAGTGACCAATCCATGTGACTTTAATTACAAAGTTATTATTCATGGTGATGCAATGGTACTACGTGGAGATGTGGAAGACCTGGCGAAAAAAAAAAAAAGAAAAGAAGAAAAAAGAGAAAAGAAGGTCGCAAAGCTTTGCGGAAGTAGACGAGGTTGGGAAAAAAAGAAGAGAAGTAAAAGAAATAACAGGGCTTCCAGCGGTGCTCGTACGTCCGTCGAGAATGTAAAATCCCAGTATTTGAATAATTCGCAAGAAGAGCTTGCGAGAGAGGGAACGAGAAGAGGGAGGGAATAGTGGGAACGGATGGCGAACGGGAAGTCGCTTTTTGTGAAAATACTTTGAGTATAGGATGCCTCGGAAAACATTTTCGAGGAGGTAAGGTAGACGAGGAAACGGGAGGAAAAGGAAGTCGAACGATTTTCGCGATACGCCGCCGTCCGCCGATATAGCGTATAATTTACGAACTTGCTAATCGAAGGCTCCTAGCTTTTGGAGCAACAAACTCTCATGTTATTCTTCTCGTTCTCTTCAATATTTATGTTTTGCCGATGACTCAGCATGTAGGCACGACCACACGAAAAGGGAAGAAGAAGGAGAAGAAGAAGAAGGGCTATTCCACGGACGGTTTGATAAATAAACCGAATATAATTTTACTAGAATTAGCGATAAAAAGTTGAAAGTTGAATGAACGAAGAATGATAAAACATTTCGTAAAAGAAATCGATACGAGGTCTCCATCGAAGCCAAAAGACTAAGTTTATTGCAGCAAGCTCGTAAAAATTTTGCGAGTAAAGAAGACCCCGCGTAGATCGTTAAAACGATGACTTTATTCGCGTTTACGAGTGGTACGTGTATACTTACTAACTTCCTTTAATATTTCCGTGACTAATCCACGTATCGATCTTCCCATTATCGAAGATTCGCGAGATTCTAGAGAGCGAGGAGTACACAAACGAGATCGCGGAACTAATTTTCCTCCAGAGAGCAGATCGTAAACAGCGATACTGGTGCATAAACGGTATCCGGAAGGGTAGACATTAAACGGACCGAAAGATGTGGACGCCTACAGATAGAACAACGGGACGTTGATATACTGAGACGAAAGCGGACTCGAGAGAACCGTCCACGCGACGATTATACCAGACGCAAGCTCATTGTGATGCTAATAACGCATCCATAGAGTCATCGATCATCGCCCGTTCCACTTTCTGCGACTTAATCTCTCTCATAGTCTCTCTCGACCTTCTCTCTCTCTCTCTCTCTCTATCTATCTCTTTTTCTCTTTCTCTTTCTCTCTCGACATCCTACGAGTTCGTTCCTTCTTACATAGTAGACTTTACAAATGATATTTTCTATATTCGCCTCGAATATAACGTTTAATCGTCAAATAAATAGTAAACCATCGAATATTTCTCGAACTATAACGTAGAACGGTGGTTGAATGTACAAGTCTGAATATTTTAAACTTGAGACTTTTAAATTCTACGATCCTTAAAAGAAAAAAGAACTTTCACCTTTCTTGCGAAAATTAAACGAAATTAAGCTAGCTTCCAACGTTGAGATGAATGTTTCTCTACCGATGCGAGATAAAACGCGACTGGAGAAACGTGGTTGGCAAGTAAAAATTCTAATGAAATGTACTGTACTCTCGTAAAATAACTTTTATCCTTTACAAAAAAAAAAAGAACTGGTTTTTCCCTAGTTCATACTATTTTTCACATATATATACAGAAATAAAATTCGTAAGAGGAAAAAATTCGATTGAATTAACGAGTACAAATGAATTATGTGGATAAGCGTTTGAAATGTGTGCGTGTCAATACAGTGCGACAATCAAACAGTGCGAGATACAAGGATAATTTTTTTCAACATCCCTTCTCCTCGATGTTATCGTATTTTACAAGAAATTATATAGGTCAGTGTGTCAGCGCAATTTAAGAAATACATATATGTCAAAAGAGGAACATATAAACAAGTAAAATTTTTTGTCGCGTGCCTCGACGTCATACGACTTGGTTTTACGAATTTATATAGGTCAATATGCCAGCTTTTTTCCGGGTATTTACAAAGGTTAATGCACTTAAAGGCAATGCATATTACGCTCGAAATGAATCGTATTATTTACATGTTTAGATTTTTTCTTTTCTTTCCCATTTAAACATAAAATCGTAAATTCTATCTATTGAATCGTTGTGATAATTATTAATAATTATTTTTTATTTTCATATTACTAACTTTATATAATATCTAGATTTATTTTCCTTTTATTCATTAAGTACAATTGTAACGATATTTAATGATATTGATTAAAATCTCTTTTAAAACAAAATTTAATATATACTTTCAATAAAATATATAAAATAAAAACGTTTAATAAATATGATAACACAATGAACACGCAAGTCGTTGTATCCTTTAATTGGCTAGTCGTAAATATTTACGTTATACTTACGTACGCAAGAAACGTCAAATAATATTATCGACGTGACCACATATACATACATAGTTCATTCGAACGATCAGCCTTCATCTACTACAATCATAATTCTGTCACGTTTATCCAATTTTTCTAATATTAATCAAAACCAAGTTTAAGTCGGGATATGCATTTTCTCGTCTTATTATTTTTCTTAACGATACGAAACGACGATAAAAAGCATCTTAATAAATCGCTAAATCAACAGGAGGGCTTTAACGCGCGAACGTTGCGAGGAATTCGATGACGCACTGCTCTTCGTGGCGGCGTCTCATCTTATCGAGTCGAGAGACGATCGTGACGTCATTTTGTTTATACACCTTCCACACATAATATGTAGTAAGGACATAGATAAATACGTAATAACGGAAAGAGGGTTAGAAAAACGTTACTCAGAGGATTCGAGTCGAAGAAGGTGATAATATAGTGAACGTGGGAGCGCATGTCCTCGCAATAACTCCGTACTTCTCTCTTAAATTTCCCAAGTGTATACTTCCGGACGTTTTACAAAGTCTCGTCGGCGAAAAGTGCACGAAGGAAACTCGATGGTTTGTATTCGATGCGTGGAAGAACTACGGACCGAGTAGGTTTTCGCGCTCGAGTTATCATTTAAAATTCGAAATCCGAAATACCACCTCGAAGTGGCATGATAAGTTAGTATAGAAGATTGGCGGTAGATACAAATAAGACGGGAGGCGGGAAGAAGAAAAGCCGACATAAGTTGACGGCCCGTGAAGACGACTTGCGCTGCCGAGAAAATCGTGACAAAACACGCGGCGGTCCGAGAAGAAAGATAATAGAACGCATAGAATTGGCATCGAGGACAAGAGAAGAAAGAGAGAACGAAGAAGAGGAATAAGTAGGAGTAGAAGCATAGAGGAAAGAAGAGAGGAAAGAGGAAAGGGGGAGGGGAGGGGCAGGAGAGGGGAGGAGGGTTGTGACTCCCAGTGGTATTTATACAGAAGCTGGAGTGTCGCCAAAATACTAGACCGACCCTATCTATCGTCGAAATACAGCACACCTCTTCTCCCGATCTCTCGATCTCCGACTCTCTCGATCCCTCGACTCCTCTCTCTCTCTCTCTCTCTCTCTCTCTCTCTCTCTCTCTCTCTCTCTCTCTCTCTTAATTCTACCAGGCTCGCGCCTTTCTCTCTCTCTCTCTCTCTCTCTCTCTCTCTCTCTCTCTATCTATCTATCTCCTTTTCGCTCTTCTTCGCGCTATGGTAGAGCCAAGAGTACACTCGAGCCACCGTCTACGCGTCCCTCAAAGAGTATCCTGGATATATACTGAAGCATTGCCTTTCTAGAAGCACTCCTATGGCTTTATTTGTCAACCACTTTGTGCCCACCGCCGAACTTACCGGCCAAAATTAAAGCTCCCTGCGGCTAATGGCTAAGGTCATCCTGGCGCCACCGCTGCTACTGATGCTGCTGTTGTTGCTACTGCCACCGTTGCCACCGGGTTAACGTTTGCCAACTGAACTGTCTACCACAATAATGCTCCTTTTCTAATTTCTTTACTTTAATTCGTTATGTCGTCGAATCGTCGCAAGCAAGAAAAGTAACACATCGCGAAATATTCTTTATCTTTATTGCAAAAACCGAAAGAACGATTAGAGAGGACAAATTAGAATGATTGGGATGACTGATTTTCTTTTAATTTTCTAGATAATCTTTACTATCGTTTACTTCTTCAAACTTTCAATCATCACATCACAAAGATCAATCTAACACGATATTGTTGTATAACTTAAGCGAGGAATTTAATCATTCGGCTTATCGAATTTAAAGTGTATTGACAAAATTCTCTCGTTAAAGCACAACGACGCTGATAACGACAAGAACGACGACAATATCCATGGAAGCGGCAAAGCGCGAAGATACGAACGATAAAGCGGAGATTGCCATTAAAGTGTATTTCGCGCGTACTAATTTCCAAGGATTCGAGCGAAGGATTCCGAGTATAAAGTCGACGGCAAAGCACTATTCTCCCGGATTAAATGGGTCATTACGGTAAAGATATCGTGGATATTCCAAATGTACCATCGGATTCGACTCGGTGATAATATCGAAGTAATGTTAGAAACAAAAAGAAAAGAGATACAACGAGAAAGCATTTTCATCGTATTCGAAATCAAAAAGACTTGATCGTTCTTTTAAATTTTCTCCATTAACATTATATACATATATTCAGATACGTACGCATATGTAATATGTAGATGTCTGTACGTTTCGTATGAACTGAAATATGGTCGCATGAGTGGTGTCAGTCTAAGCGATTCAGCGACATAACACACCATTAAATCGAAGTAGCATGTTAGATTTTGTCTAGCACGTAATGTACAAAAATATATTTAATAAAGAGAAAGAGAGAAAAAGAGAGCAAGAGAGAAAGAGAAAGAAAGAGAAAAAGAGAGAGAGAGACTAGGAAAAGGGTGGTGACAAGAGGTAGAGAGGAAAACGGCGAAGAACGAGAACAGCTGTCGCTGTTTTGGCCTCGATGTGACCGGCACGACGTTCGCGCACGTGTCACTCGTATGTCATCTACAGCACGATGCCCTTTTTCGTCAGAAAGCGCTATTGGATCTGAAATGAATCGAACGAGATTTACCAAACCGAAATTGTCCGTAATACAAAATACAATGAAATGTTCGCTACCTTCCCCTATCTTACTCCACATTGCCACAACGAGATTCACAAATATGTATATGTATAAAACATAATGAACGAAAAAATGGATTTTGTTAAAAAACATATATCTAAACGAAGATCTGAGCAATCAAATATTGTTCTCCTTCCCCTCTTACGTTTATTTGTGCAATAGTAGAAAGGTTTTGGGGGGGATAAATGCCGAATGGCGTGACAGAAGTGTGTGCTAGCTTGTGTATATGTATATTAGAGCACTTATTATTAATGACAAAGAATATAACGAATGAATATTGAACGTGGATGTATGCGAGAGAACGGAAGGTCAATCTAATGCAGTCTTAAGATGACAATAAAAAACCCATTATGATAAAAGAGAAAGTTACTTTAAGGCAAACATTTAGTAAATTCGTTTTATTTTTTTACTTTTTAATTATTGTTTTATTTCTGTATTTGTGTGTAAAAATATATATTGTATACATATATGTATATATTTCATCTCTGTAATCATTTTGTCAATCATACCATGATCTTATATTTACTAATTAAGTAACAGATATCTTTGATAATTATATCTACAAACGATATCTCAAGGTAACTTCGTTACTATTTGTCCTTTCACTTTTTTTCTTTAAGCGTTTTTTTAAACGTTGTTCTTGAGTCAGAATTTTTACAACAATTTTAAATTTTAAAACGAGGAGAACCTCGATTTTCCCATTGATGCTAAATATATCGATTATTGTATTCAAAGAAAAAAAAAATAAGAAAAAAGAAACTGTCTACTAATCGATCGACATTAAACATTTTGAACGATATAATAAAAGAAAAATAAGAAATAAAAATAGAAAAAGAAAAGAATCTCATAATTCACAAGAATGAAATTTAGATTATTGCGGTAACTGGAATAAGCGAAATAATAGCTAAGAAGTCAGAAGAAAGATGGATTCTAAATTCGTTTTCATACTACCCCACTTATATTTCACCTCCTGTTTCTACTCATCCATCTCCCCGTTACTACGGAAACCGTTAGACGCTTTCTACTTCATCGAACTCGTCTTTCTATACGCGCATATAGATCTGTTTATTCTGAATATCAAAAAACATTTGACACATTTGTCGTACCTTTATTTTCATTTTTCAATAATAAATTCCTATATCAGGTTATATATTCGTAAAAGATAATAATTATTATTAATAACAATATTTCGAAAAGACTGAGATAAAAATACTTTGATGTATCAAGAAATTAAAAAGATCTCCGTGTGACGGGCGAAAATAAAATTTAATTATTTTACTGCCAACCAATAGATTGGCCCTTAATACTAACGCGAAAATTATCATCGGCTGATATGTCGGCGTGTGAAAAGGTACATATGAAAACGATTATATTATTTTTCGCATATACCACGTATTTGGGACTGACAGTAAGAAGATTAAAAGAGAGATTAAGGAACATGATTTTGATGTGCATGACGTTATACGATGTGCATGACGATCGATTGCGTGTTTCACAGATGCTCTCACCGATCTCGAAGTCATTCGGTTCCATAAATACAATGTAAGATTTCTATTTATAACAGTGGACCGTAAGGGGTGACCGTATGTCGCAACATATCTCGTCGTCGATATTACGCGGATTAAAGTAGGACGACGTATTTTAAGAATTATCAAATAACCACATTCGTAGAAAACACACAGCGACATTCTCTATGAAATATGGTCCTATGAGTGATTCGCACGTCGGATTCGAACGTCGAAGAAAGATAGAAAGATAGAAAGTTTTCTTCTCCGTTTATCTTCCCGAACAACATCGATTTTATTTTCGAATGAATCAAACTCAAAAGTTGTAAAATTATAGTGCCAAAGTGTTCGGAACGCATAGCCTGTGAGACTCGAGTAGAGATATATCAGAGAGAACTGGTACCATCTCATTAGCCAGAATTTGACCTAATTGCGAAAGAAAACGTCTGGCGCACGCAAATCGTTGTCTCGAGCACGATTGCAGTCTGCCACATCCGTCTTTTCCGCGTTGAACTCGTACCACTCTCTATTTATAGAAATTTCGTCGAGAAGGAAGATCGTCGAAATCTAAGGATTTCGTGAAAAAATCATGAACGAAAGTCGACAAAATACGAAAAAAAGTGCTTGAAAATACTCTCACTCTCACTCTCACTTTCACTCTCTCTCTCTCTCTCAAAAAAAAAAAAGAAAAAAAAAATAAGAGAAAAAGAAAAAATAAAAAAGAAAAGAAAAAGAACAAGAATGGAATAGAAAGAGAGAAAAAAAAAGAAAAAGAAAAATAAGGAAGAAAGAAAGTTCAACTCGCACGTGTAATGTGTAAACAACAATGAAAAGTTCATTTCGTTAAAGAAATGCTTAGTTCAAAGTTTGCTAATACTCGAATCACACTCGAGTTTGAAAATATTCGCAAACGGGAAGACATAATTTACCTTTGGAGAAAGAATCGTAGTCCCCAAGATGCCGGCTCACACGCCGTTCACATTTTTCACCACCGTAAGGATAGTCCTCCTCTAGCGAGGACACGGCACACGATGATTCGTAGAAAGGGAGAAAGGGAGGGGGGCCAACACCTTTCGTGTAGGGGACTCTCTTTTTCTCTCTCTCTCTCTCTCTCTCTCTCTTTCTCTCTCTCTCTCTCTCTCTCTCTCTCTCTTTCTTTCTCCCTCTCTTCTTCTTCACCTCCTACTACAGTTCACGATCGAGCCACGCGCGAACGCGCCCCGTTCTGGAGGCGCTGTCGGCGATGAGCGACGCAGGACCGCGACGCGCCTTTCCGCTTTCCATCCTCCTCTTTCTCTTCCTCCGTACTCTTCTACTACTTCCTCTTTCTCCTCTCGCTCTAGGAAAATTCTTATCATCGACGACACTAGCGACACTTCGTGGTCGATGCCGCGAATGAAACCAACCTGTCGTATACACGAATGATATGCGTGTTTCCACGTTCAATCATTAGGAGTGTCTCTTTTCTAAACTTTCGAAATCGTCGATAAAACGCGCTAATCCTGCAATTCTTCCATGATGGCCGCCGGCCGACGACGACACACGAGAGAACCAATAAACGCGTGTTCGCCTGCTCTACCTCGCCATGTATCTCCCTCTCTCTATCTTTCTCTCTCTCCCTCTTTCATACGAGTCCAACGTTCTCTCTTCTCTTTCGATTATTTAGGGTGTCTTTGCGTTAAAGTATGAGAAAAGAAAGGAAGGAAAAGATAGAGAGATATGGTTTTCGGCGGACGACGTTTCCGATGGCTGCCGCGGCGATGTTGAAGAGAGAGAGAGAGAGAGACGCGAAGGCGCGCGCAGCACGAAGACGCGGCCAAAACTGACGGCCGAGAGAGCGCCTTAAACGCGCGCGCCGCGATTTTCCGCGAGCGCGCTTTAGTCTCTCGTTTCTCGCGCCGCTGCGCAGCGTCATTCGTTCCTTCTCTCTCTCTCTCGCTCGTTCGTTCTTGGCATCCTCCCTACCATCGGACGCCCACCACCTGTGGTCTTCCACCTTCCTTGCACCCCCGATCTGCCGCCTCTTTCCACCACTATCGTCACCGGCTCTACTCGCGCACACGCGTCGCGCCACCATCTTGTCACTCCTCTCTTCCTACTTCTTCTTCTTCCTCTTCTTCTTCTTCTTCTTCTTTTTCTTTTTCTTTTTCTTCTTCTTCTTCTTCTTCTTCTTCTCTCACTGTGTCTCTTTCTCTTTCATTAATACTATATTTAGCTGCCTCTAAGCTTCTCTCCGTCTTCTCCACCCCCTCTCTCTTATGTCTTTCTCTCTTTCTTCTGTCTTTCTCTTTATTTATCTATCTATCTATCTACCTATCTATCTATTCATCTGTTTATCTCTTTCTCCGTTAAACCACACCGAATTCGCGCGCCAATTTGAATGTCGCGATCTCTCTTCTTCATGGCTCTGTATCTTCTGTACAGGTGTATGCGTGTTCTTGTAAAAATGAGACTTGAAAATAGCGAAAAAAAAGAAGAAAATTTATTATACTTATAAAGGTTCACATTGATTCTTTTAAAAATATTCGAACTAAATATGAATGTACTAATTGAGAATAATATAAATTGTAACGATTATAGAACTTTGTTATTAATATAATTATTAAACCATCATATTTTTAATTCTTAAGAGAGAAAAGATGGTTAATAAGTATCTAATTTATTACAACTCTTGCAATTACAGTAATTATAAAGGATAACCAAAAAAGGAATAACATAAACAGCAACAGAATAATTAATTAGACGAACGATAAGAGAGAGAGAAAAAGAGAGAGAGAAAAAGAGAGGGAGGAAATAATGTAAGCGGGCTAAAACAGCAATTTTTATATCCATACTAATTAGCATTAAATGTAATAGGAAAACAAAACCAAAAAAATAAGAAAAAAGGTAGAGAGAGCATGTTTTCTTTCTTTTTTTATTTGCTGATAGTCTATGAAATACTGCTCAAATTACACGATGTCGGTGCTGACAATGAAATGATCATGTTACGTAGGCAAATAAATTAAACTTTCGACGCGAATCGATACTTCGAAGGTTGCACATCACCGTTACATGACACGATCTTTAAGATAGTAACATCGTGCTGACTATCTTCGCGGGCTCTGGATGATCTTTAGAGATAATTTAATTCCTTCGGTTTGGTACGCGTCGTCCTATTTTATCGTCAAAGCAAGGTTAAAGAATGAACGTAATACTAAAAGCATTAACACAGTGGACATTTTTGCTATTACTTTAAGATTGAAAAAGGACCATGGTATATTACTTCCGTATGAATTAACGTAATAGAATAAATCAAGAAATATAAAAATTTCAACGAAATAATCGTAAATACGTAAATATTTTCTTTTTTTTAAAACCATTTTGGCTAACATTAATGCGAATATAAATGCGTTAATTAAAATTAATATTTGTATCCAACAAAGAGATAAAAGAGCACTTATGTTTATTTGACGAAAAAAGATTGATAAGTCGCTACCCGCATTTTTTGGCAATCCTTCAAGAAGCGAATACGGTAGTACCTTTTGGATAGCGTTGTATTCGATTCTATCAATAGAATACTGTTTCATTCATCATGGATCATTTGGTGAAGCCCACGCAGCTTGTGCGGTCATAGTTACGCTCGCACAAAATGATTCCAAATTTGTTGCTACTGATGAAGAGAGATAGAGATAGAGAAGAAGAGAGATAAATAGAGACAAAGACAAAGAGAGAGGGAGAGAGAGAGAGAGAGAGAAAGAGAAAGAGAGAGAGAGGGAGAGAGAGAGTCGAGAGAGAGAGAGCGACTAAAAAGAGCTTAACGGTTGTTATCGAAAAGTTACGTTGACGAGTCCGAGGATTTGGGGAAAGAGGCGTCGAGTTATAAGCCGAGCGGTTAGACGCGTTCACGCGCACATGCGGTTTGTTCATAGTTTGATCATACTAATGCATCGCATGAAATTTTCTCTGGTGCGAGCCACGAACGTGATGCATATACGCGTACGCCCATATGCTCGTACCTATGCGCAACGTGTACGAGCGTTAATCGTATACATACATACATACATACTTATATATATGTATGTGTGTATATATATAATATGGGCATACCGCAACACGTTCAACGATACGACGAATATTTCGTAATTTCACACAAGCGGTGTTCGTTACGTGAGCGCGGTTCGTTGTTCTTCGATTGCGATCGCAACAAAATATATTACGTTTGCCTTTGAAAACGTCGATCTTCGCTAAAATATATTTTCTTCGTTCGTTCCCAAATGATCCTAAATATCGTCCGAGCAGATAAACGAATTCGAAGGCTTCGGGAGATTCCGAAGTTGTCGATGACAGACCGTTGCGGAAGCAGGATATTGAAAGAGAACAAAAATAACCGTCGCTCAACAGAGCGATGTTGAGCCAGCATAGTGCCACGTAGTCTACCGCTTCTCAATGTGGAATCTTCTTTTCTGATGGACGGGCCTGTTATTACTGTCGGTCTGACGCCTTACTCCACCCCCTAACAAAACGTCGATCTTATAATCCTCGCATCCTGCACCGTGTCAACTTCCATAGTAGCATTTTAACGAGAGAGAACCCTTTTAACGATAATAATTCGTAAAGATTCTAAAAAAAAAAAAGAAAAAAAAAAAATAAGAAAAAAATACGTAGGTAATTAAATCCTAACGTGTGTATCCTCACATTCGCCATATACATACAATAGAGTTCTTCTACGAATCAGAGACTACTTTAATCGGCGAAGGATTTATTTTCCCCCGAAGGATTTACGAATATCCATCGAGGAACAAGTCGAGGGAACTTTTAGAGAAAAGATCCATTGCGAATGAAAGCAGGCTATCCGTAGTTTTTTTTACTACCATCGAGAGAGCAGCTTTGCCAAATAACTTTTCCCTCGGACTTTCGAGTGCCATTTTCCAATTAACATTTGATAAAAAGCTTCCCTTCTACGTCATGATATACGTGCGCGTACATACTTTGTACGTACCTGTGTAATATACCCACTCGAAAAGTAATTGGGTTATATCGAGTAAGGATTTATCGTGTTGGGAATGGAAGCGGATTCGCGTACTACGCATATCTATCCTTGTACCACGTTAAGTCGGTACATCCAAAGGCATTCGCGGTGGTGCGAATCGAATTAAAATTCCGTAGCATCGTTAGGAGCCGTTGATATAGGAGGGGAGTCTAAAGCACATTGTCGAGAATGAGAATATACCGAACACCGTATTCCGCGTGCTTGCGTGACTTCGCGAGTTTCAGGGTCGTTTTGAAGACAAGCCGGAGGCGCTGAATTGCTCTTTCTAACCCTCCATCTGAAAACCTTCCCAACTGCGTGCACCGCCTCTCGCTTATCCGCTCAAAAACCCGCTTTTCATACCGACGAGTTCGGTATAATGAGCAAAAGTTACATCGATTTTTCTGGGCTCCTTCGAGACGTTTCAGAATTCTCTGCGAATTGTAAATCTCTTTCTTAGCAATTCACTACTGTCTCTATATCCGCATATATCGATGTCGGGTAATATTTTAAAGGCATTCGAATAAACTTCGAAGAATAACGTTTGTAATGTATTTCGGTTCAGGAAATTTTTCAAACACGCCTGATTAACAACGATGAACATATTTGTTAAAGGCAACAATGACAACTTTCCTTTCTCTTTTTTTCTCGTTTCTCAAAAAAGGAAGAAAAATAAGAAAAAAAAAGAAGAGAGAGGGAAAGAGAGCACAGGTTTCTAGCTAAGAAGGATCGATTCATCTAAGGGCAACGGCTATCCGTTAACGGGATGGAATAGCCTCGAGGGAGAGATCCGAAAGCACGAACGCAGTGTAGCTCTCTGCGGCTCGACGTCTCGCATCGCGTCTCGACACCAGTGCGCTAACTCAGCTTTAAATTAATGCTTGTCCCTTGCAGTAACTTATCTTACGACCCGTTATATTATGGTCCACGATCACCGTTCACTGACAAATGGCCAACTATTTTTCAAGAAATAGATTTGAAAAATCTAAACTGTCAAAGAAAAAAAAAAACTCCATTTCCTCTAAATGTAACATGATACGCAAATGTAACATGATACGAAAATGTTTTTAAAAATTCTCATTTAAATATTTATCCAGAGATTGGTAGATACAGAGTTTACTTTTAAAACAAACTCTAAGCCTGAGTATTTATTCGATATTTAAACAGATCTGTCTGTAAGCGAATAAAAGCAAGAATAATTTCGTAAAACTGGAAAATTAATAAACTTATTAATCCCTTTGGAGCTTAACTACATATATTTAGAAGATGTTCAAGTACGTTTTAGAAAGAGATAAAAATACAAAGTTACAGATACATTTTACGATCAATTTTTGTACTCGTTTCGGCGATCTCTCGCAATAGTATTTATCGATCAAAACATTCGTTCAGTAGTGAGATAAAAAATTCTTCTTACGTTTGCGGACTCGAAAAAGAACTCTGAAAAAGTTTGATGGGACGTCGATTTCCATTGCCGTGTATATTTCTCTCGTCGGTTGATTTCGAAACAGAACGGTAGAAAGCGGTGGCTTCTAGTTTGCTCGTTAAAATCTACGAACGTGATTCGTTCGAATCTCCTCGTTTGGTAGGGAACGTCGTTAGTTGGACCACGTCTATGTGGAATGTGATATTTCATCGAGCGCTTTCTGTTTTTCCAATGATACTCGCTGAACGTGGTCGGTCAGATATTATTATTCCAATAGAAGTTCATCAAGACTACCAGACGTATTATTCGTTTCGATCATTCTGTGGTGGCTCGTAATTTCGACGAACTAATGATAATCCAAAATCCGTGATGATTAATAAACGCATTATTGTTACGTGCTTTGATATATATATATATATATATA